TGCTTTCTAGTCTCTAGTTGCTTGGCACTCTGTGTACAGATACTAATAAGTTGGCTTATTAAGTCTTTCAGTTCTAGAATATGCTGGAGATTCTGGAATGCCCACATCCTCATGTGGTCTTAATCTTTCTTTGTAAAAGAATGTACACTGAATTCTCATTCTTTGCATAGTGCGTACTTTTCTTTGACCCATGTATTATTTGGTTTGAGCTTTAGCATTTCATGCATTAGTATTCAAAAGCCACTTTGTAGCTTTTTCTAGCAGAAGCGTATTTCTACTTTCTAGTATTATCTGAGCATGTATGTGAAAATGTTGTGCTGACAAAACAGCAGTTCATGATAAAAATACATATATTATTCCATGGCAAAGAAAACCAGTGTTCTGGTGAATTCATAAGCTGGAGGTGGTAAAATGATTCTCTAGGGCAAAGAAATACTGAGGTTCCTACAAATGATACAGGGTAATTTTTCTGAGTCATCAAAATGAACCAAGAAAGATCATGTGACAAATGATATAATTTCCCCTTGGGGTTCTCAACTCTAATACCTTTCCCCTTTTTCTCTTGACCTTTACATCCATATGATGAAAATCGACCTCAGTGACAAGCATGCCCTCACGCCACCCAGAGCAGTGTAACATCCAGGATACTTTCTCCCTCACAATAGTTCTAAGTTATTTAATATATAAGTTTGGAGGCCTCTCTCTCTCTCTGTCTCCTGTTAAATTCCATGGTTATGAGAGGCTGTCTATACAGAAGGGCATCTCCATTTATTGCTTCATTTTAAGTTGTGGGTATAATAATTTTCAGGTGATTAAAGTTGTTCGTTTCTGTGGTTGAAGTTGCTTTTGACAACAGCTAAAATATTTTCATTGATGTATTTCTCACAGTGTTATACAAGTAGGGTAAATAAACCTGGCATGGCGGTGCATACCTGTAGTCTCAGTACTCTGGATGGGGAGACAGGAGTATTACCAGGAGTTTTAAAGCCCCAGTAGGCAAAATAACAAGAATTACGCCAGCCGCTCCTACATAAGAAAGGACTTATTTAACAAACAAATGAAACAATTCTTGACCAAAATAACAACAATGTGAGAGGTGGGATGAGGAAAGATAATGAGATATTGGTAACATTATTTGGGTCAAGATTGTTTTTAGTGTTTTCAGAGCAGGCTATAGACATGTCATAATGGTTTTTAAAAGCACTATTAAGTAATGAGTTCCTTCTTCCTGTCTTTGCAGGACCTATATTGTGGAGGAAAGCCCTTCAAAGCCATTTGTTTCTGTCATTGACTACTGAAGTAGAATGTCATAATTAGAAATATGCATATATTTGTTGTACTTTTGATGATTGCTATAGATGAAATAATCTTTTGTATAAACTTTCATTTAGTGCTTCAACCATTCTTCCTAAATATTGTATAGTTTATGGCTTTGAATTGTCAAAAACTTCTTTTGCCAGAAAAACTCTTATTGGTTATGGCAGTCATACATTAATATTTGAACAGAGATACAGCCTGTGTATTTTCTCTCTGAATGTTTCCTGTGTAGTTAATTGCATAGCATTTTTTTATGTACCTAGAAATACTAAATTTAGGTTTGACAGATCAGATATGACTAAAACAGTTTATACAATTGAGGTTTTTAGGACCAAACTTTATTTTCAGAGTTTGCCAAGGTTGTATTGTAAACCAAACCTGTGATGTGTTTGAATGTGTGTGTATGTGTGTGTGAGAGAGAGACAGAGAGAAAGAGAGAGATTACAATTAAAACAACCCTTAGTGTGAGGCCCCTTTCTCAGTTGTTTGTTTTTCTTAAATCCTAATCCTTAAAGTTGTCAATCATTTCACGTGTACCATACAGCAGAGGCTGAGCCCTAGCTAGTTATTTTTCACTGAAGAGATTATGAAATCTCTCCTTAAATGTAATTTTTTCCAAAGCTCTGAATTGAACTAATTGTATTCTGAACACTGTATAGTCCTCTTCCCTCCTTCAGGCTCATTCATCTTCCTCTTCACTCTCACTGTGAGCATGTAGACGAAGGGGTATGGCATCAAGTGTTCAACCACGGAGTGGGAGGTTTCTCCACTGTGCTGGCTGCAGACCCCTTTGGATGCAGGTTTTTACCCCAAGCCTTCCTAGGCCAGTTGGGTGGTACACTGGCCTGACCTCACATCTGGTCACAGTGAGACTTTTTTTGACCACCTGCACATAGTCTCTACAGTCATGTTTCTCATCTATAGAATGAACAGATACATTTCATATGTTTTGACTGTTGTGCTTCTAAAATTTATGATGTTTTTACATTCTTTATTAGCCTCTTAGAATATCCATAATACAGACATTAGCAGCTATGTAAGATGTTCATAGGTGCCTCATTTTCCTCTACCCCTCACTCTACTTTGAATACTGTTAAGACTGCACATGTCCCATGTTTTTTTTAATAGTGAAATAATGTATGATAAAATTTATATGCAATATATGATAAATTTTATATGGAATGTAATTCCTCAAAGGTCACATTTTAAATCAATCTGATTAGAACATAATAGAAAATGGGCCAGAAAAAGATGTATAATCATGTACCATGGAACAATAATTTTAATGGAAAATTTAGTGAAAAAGAAAAGATTTTGAAAGGAGCTTCTTCATATAATTTTGCTACTATTTTTGAAACTTTGAACATAGAAAAAGAATAAAGTGAAGATGTAATTTACGAAGACTTTTTCAGTTCATGGCTTTTGGTGACAGAGAAAGTTTTGTCATCTTTGGCTTAATTTTCACATAAAGCCTATATAAAATGCAATGTATGCTGTGTTAGTGATCAGGAACAGTTTTGAACAGTATTAATCTTCTCGTGGAAAAATGGAGTGTTATTCTGCATGTCTAGGAAGTAAGATTAAAAACAGACTTCTAATGGCAGAATGGCTACTTCACAAGTCTTAATAATCTGACCCCTATAGCTCAGAGTTTCATGTTATCCAGGAAAAAATGTAGTCTTTCACTGAATGTGTGTTATTGTGGTTGAAGACACAGAGTTCCACCAAAGATGTGTAGTCAGTGTGTGCTGTCTTCACTGCTGGGGCTACATTGTGCTGAGCACTTATCCTGTTCCTTAAGTCTTGGTGCTGGGAGGGTTACATAAAAGCCATTATTGTCTCTTGTCTCTCTTCTCTCCTTTCTTAGAGGATGATGTTTCTTACCTGTAGGATCAGGGCCGAGGCAAGATGAGGCTGAGAGGGAAACTGTGCATCAGCATTACAAGCTCTCTGAGCTTCAGGAACCTGCCATGTTAGTGCTTCACAGAGATTGTACCAGTGTGGTAATGGGAATGGTATTTTGTGTAAAAACTTTATTCCTACTCAGTTTTTGCTCTTGTGTATTCATATTCTTCTGTAATGAGTCATTTTTGTTGTCATTATGTTAGTCTATTTTCCATTTCTATAACAAAATAATGGAAGCTGTGTGGTTTATAAAAAAAGAAGCTTATTTAGCCTAGAATTCTTATAGTCAACAGAATGTCACCAACCTCTGCCTGGCTTTTCTAAGGACATTTTGGTGAATGGCACCATGGCAGCCATGTGTGAACATGGGAAGACTTGCATGTAGATTCAGGGAAGCCAGACAGATGTGTGGAAGGACGCCATTTGGCTCTCTTAGCAGTCTTCACAAGAAGTAGCAGGGCTTTGAAACTCCCTCATTTCCTTCTGACCACAGACTACCAGTGATCTAACAGCCTTACTGACATGAACGAGTGTTCTTCTTTTATTGCAGTGGGGACTTGGAGCCCACCTGCTGCTTTACCCACTGATCAGAGTAGACATCTGTCTGATTTTAAAGGTTAGGAAAAAGGAAAACTTGTCACTTCTAAATATGCTTTTTGTTTGTTTGTTTGTTTGTTTGGTTTTTCTATGCCATCTCTTTGGCTAAGTGGACTTACGCACATCATATCAATAGGAATTTTTTTCTTTTTTTTATTGTGGCGATGATTATTTAATTAAAGAATGTTATAAGTAATCTATTAGCATTTTCATGAAAAATTATTTTATGGGAAAAACAAAAACATAAATAATTAATAATGTATTTGTCAGTATGGTTATGTCATTCTTTGTGGTCCTGTTAATCTGAAGGAACATTTTTTTAAAATTTATTTTTATTTTTATTATTAGTTACATTTTATTAACTCTGTATCCCAGCCATATCCCGCTCCCTCATTCCCTCCTACTCCCACCCTCCCTCCCTCATCTCCTCCCCTCCCCTTTCCAAGTCCACTTCTTGGGGAGGACCTTCTCCCCTTTCATCCAACAGGAACTTTTTCAACCTTGTGTGTTTTACATTTTTCTGTAAAACTGATCCTTCTTACTCTCCTGTCCATCTTTTCAGTGTATTTCCTATCACTTGATAGATAGCAAGGAAGGTAAGGAAAACCACACATTTCCTTATTACAACAACAAAAGATTGAAATTAAACATATGATAAAGTCATCACTGTGTTCATGCAGTATGTAAGAGTATAATTTGTATTACCTTAGGACGAATAAAATTTACAACAGAAACAAATGTTTATGGAGAATATGGTATTAACTGAGTAATTACTGAATAGATTTGTACTTTTAAGTAGGCATGCTAAATCAAACAAAGTAGCTATGTGTTTTTGTTGTTTAATATTCTCAGGATCACTTCTTAATACTATGTAAATTGTTTTATCAACTGCTGTAACTTTTCTCATTCCATTCAAATGATCTTCTACGTATGCTTTCACAACTCATGCTTTCACTCTCCACAGTATAACTGCTTTCTATCTCAGTCTTAGATAACTACTATTAGGAGCTTTTCAAGCCTAAGAACCACCAGAGCCTCCCTGAAGCAGTATAAGTCCTCAGTGGTAGATGATAATATTTTTATTACTGTGTGATTTCGAATACATACATGTTTACTTCTTTTTTCTGTCATTTTACCCTTGAAGGTCATACTGATTCATAAATCTCTCTTTTGTCTTACAGAGAAAAGGAATATAAATGATTTTGAAGAGAAGAAAGTTATTAAGAAAAGAATTAAGGCACTTAAATTTCTAGATCCGAAAGTTGCTCAGAACCTTTGTAAGTATCATGGAGGAGTAGCGTGTTAAAGTATCTAGGCCCTGTGCATTGTTTATTGAAATCTGCTCGTTTTCTGTCTTTGTTTCCTATTATTTTAATTTCTTGACTTGAATACCGAATTCAAATATAACTCTCCTTCATATAAATTACGAGATTAAATTCTTGAAAAGATTAATATGTACTAGAAAATGATTTAAGATGACATTCTGCCTCCCAGAAGCACCAAAGGACCTGCTCTTTAAAGTTATTTCTCCAGGTATTAAAGAGAAGGAATTCAGGTAATGACATCACACTTTGATAAAGGAATCACTAATCTATCTATTCTTTATTCCTCTGAATATCTTATTATTTGTGACACTTGATCATTCAGGACAACAGTTAGAATATTAATAGAAATAAGGATGAGGAGTAAAATGAATTCCATTATCCCACCTGAGCAGTTCAAAGCCTTTTCCTCAGAAGCACTGATGGAAATATTTTAGATTTAATTACTGTTACAGGAGCTAAATACGTAGTGCTCAATTGTCTTCCTGGCTGAGTTATTATGAGACAAGGAAATAATTTTGTTCCTAATTCATTTCTTACTGCATCTTAAATGCATCAAAGAGAGTTCTGCTTGGAGCTGAGACCATCATATCTGTGTATAATACTTTCTGGGGATGCAAGAGGGATATAAGTGAAGAATCTGGAGGGATCAGGAGTGTTAACATGGCTTTTAGTCTGCTTCTCAATTGTTACGTGCCTCAAGTGAGCTTTTTGCAAGTGTTGGCACCAAACAGTTGTCCAGCCATAGGATAATGTTCCATGCTATTGATCAGGGAGCATTATATGAGAGCAATATGTACAAAGGTAGACTTGACAGTTCTCTGAATGGTTCAGAAATAGCTCTCCACACTCACCACAGCAGAAATTAACCCTTTCTATGATGTAGGCTAAGATTAGATATTTATGAGCAGCTATGATCACATTAAAAGCTACTGGCTAATATTCAGCCTGGGTTTTTTTTTTTTTTTTTCTTTTTTCAGAGCATAGATTGATTGCATATCTCTGCCCATTTCATACTGGTATTATCTTGTGATGTGTTTGAGCCAGTGAATATGTAAATGGAGATGATATCACTTCTGGGTGGAAGCTTTTATTTGGTGGTTTGGTCTCTTTCAGAGCTGTCCATCCTTGTAATAAGATGATTAGATTATATAGCCCAGCTCCTATTGTGTGGGATTGTCTTTCTATAAAAAGTTCCATGTTTGCTATTTGCACATTTAGTAACCAATCAGATAACCATCAGGATTGACAATGTAGGTAGTGAGCCTGGTGGATTAAAAAACTTGAATTACCTACTTTATATTTACAATAGTCAATAGTTGTTGTTGTGTGTGTTCACATTTATAACACATGTGCATAACATATAGAAAATAGATGTGAATTCCTGCTAGTAGGTTACAAAATCATACCTTTGCCATAGAGAAGGATCCTCTTCATGTTGATTACTCTAGGTAGAGGGCATTTATTTTAAGTCATTTAACTGAGAAGCATGTTTTAGGAAAGTGTCCAACCAAAAGATCCAGAGTCTATATCACAACATATTTGGGTATAATCCATTACACAATTATTGTCACCCTTTTAGATTATAGCCAAGTGTTCTGATTTAAACACTCTAGTGCTTTAGCAGCCTCTGCTTGCCACTGATGGACTGCTGTGGGAAGAGATGTTTTCTGTTTATAAAACACAGCTTTGAGGTGTTGGACCCCAAGTTGAGTGGTCTTGACAGTGCCAGCTGGTTGTCAATGAAACACTTGAAGGAAAGTGTAGTTGGTAGTGGAATGCTTGTGCCGACATGGAGAGATTCCCTTCCAAATGTTACCAAAGCAAAAAGTGTGAAAATAGGCTACTTGATGTTCCATCATTAAAACATGGTGATCAACTTTGAGGTAATATCCAAAAGCCAGTCATTTATTTGCCTAACTGGTCTAAAGGCATCTTTCTCCCCATGTGTTGAGTTTGTAAAGGTTTTGGCAGGCCTAGTTTCTGGGCTATCATTCCAGAATCAAGAGGTCTTAAGAGTTTTAAAGATTCATGTATTTTTGCCAGATTCTTCTAAAGTAGTATTAGAGCTGTAAAGGGAAGATCCCTGGAATCTGAATTAATCCAGAGGTGAAATATTTCTAAGTAGCCTCAGTGACTACACACATAACTGCCTGCAGAAGCTGAATGCTCCCCCTGCTTTCTGTCCTGTCATACTGGGAAGGTCAAGGTGTGCCAAAGTGACGATATTAATTTTCTGGCAACTCATGGATCCCTCAACTGAGTATTTCTTATCTGACTCTCAGTATCAAAAAGAAACTTTTGTAAAGTCCTTTTTTGTTATTGTTGTTTTGTTTATTTGTTTGTTTTCTTTTTGGAATTTTTGAGACTGGGTTTCTCCATGTAGCCCTAGCTGGCCTGGAGCTCAAAGATCTATGTGTCTCTGAGTCCCAAGTGCTGGGATCAAAGGTGTGTACCATCTCCCTCTGCCTTACAAACTCTGTTTGTGAACTGTGCTCAGGCATTAGGACCTTCTCAGATCTCCTGAAGAAACATTGTGGTCATTACAGCAGTTCTGTGTTAGTCTGATCTTTAAGAATCTATTAAGGGGACTTCTAGAGTTCATTGAAGGTGTTAGATTATGGAATGTGCTTTATGCCAATAAAGTAGTTGATGAAAATCAGGCCTGGAAAACGTGAATGAGTCGAACCCAGGAAAACCCAGGCTTGACGTTTTGAGCTTCCTTCTCTACAGCATGGCCTGAATGTTGCTAATAAGGGAAGCTCCCTTTGTATTTTGAGATTTTACTGGAACTTTATTAGAGTTGATCCCTACATTGCTGGTCATAGTTTCCAGTTCTTTCTGAAAGAGAGCTGATTTAGTTGCTCAAAACCCATATATCATAAATCATGTTGTACTAACCTGACTCTCGGTTGTGGCCCAATATCTTCAAGCATGAAACATTCCCTCCATGTAACAAAAATGACCCCTGGGTATAGAGATTGTGTTTCAGGAGGCTAGGACCAGGAATAGGACCTGTAAAGGCCCCCAGGGTTAAGGCCAGTCCTGTATGTCCTACAGTCTCTCAAGTGCCCAGTGTGTTTTCTTTCCCTACTATTCATTGAAGGCTATGTTAGCTGTCTTGTTGTCATGTGTATGCATTATACTTAGGAGGAGATGATAAAATATATGACACTATTTAACGATTAACACCCATGGCTACAGAAAACATTGATGCTACTCCAGAGGCTTACTTATAACCAAGTAACTGCCTTATCCTGAGTCTCTGATGAAGCACCATCTTTTCTTTGTATAGTTGTGACTATTATATGTACCTGCTCTAAAACAGTAAGTATGGTTTCACCTAGTGCTGAGTTTTACATAAACCACGTTAGGTCATTCAGATACAGCAGTGTAGGATTTCATTCACTGACCTTGTGCTTGATTCATTCTGTGCTTGGATAGCACTGGGACACTCTTTATTCTAAATGAAGTTGCATTAAACAAAGTCCGGTGGGCATTTAGCAGGGTGCCAACCTAGAGCTCCTTGTGGTAGTTGTGATCTCAAATGAATGACTGTGTGGTAAAGCATGGATTACATACTTGAAGCTACGAGTCCCTGCCAACTTACTCTTCCCCAATCATCTTTCTTCAATATGACTGTTTTAAAACTTCATCAATGACTGACTGTTCTTGGTGGTCTACAAAGCTTGCAGCATTTCTTTTCAGAAATGGTAATTGTCTTTGTGGTTTATTTCTGGTATTCCTATTGGGATTTTTAGATATCCTCACTCATCAAAGTTTAAATATGATAGTTTACCGTCTGTCTTATTTATAATACATTTTGCATGTGTGCACTCATGTATTTCACATTACCATTTCCTCATCGTACGTCTAATCTATGTGTTGTTTCAATTTCAGTAACTCAGTTTCTAAAAATTTTGTAATTTTCTTTAAATCGTCTTGTTTTTTCTTCGCACTGCACACTTCATGCTTTCTTTTCATTTATGCACATTTTTATTTTCTTGCTGGCCTATTTTTTTCACTACTTTTTAGATACTCTAAAACGCTTTCAAGATGAAAACAAAAATTTTAGATAATTTAGATAATTCAGGACAGTCTCTTTCTTAATGCCTGAAACATAAAACTAACTTCTTTCTTTCTGAATTCTCAAATTATCAGAGTATCAGAGTAACTGTTTGATTTTTCCCTTTAATATTCTAACCTTCTCTGTTAATCTTTGATTGTGTTGACTGTGTTTCTCAAATTAGAATTTGTTTCCCAGAACGTATTGATAATTCCATGGCTTCTTTATAATCTCATTGTGTTATAATCTAGATGGAGTTTAATAATTTACAGCCTCAATTTGCTTGCTTCTATAGTTCCCTATCAGTTTTCTTTCATATTCTTTTAAGTGATTATTTCTGTAATTTTCTTGCCTTTCCATTCTGCCTTTGTAGTTTTAAAATTATTTCTGTAGTTAAACATTAAGTAAAACTATGAATATTAGAGACTATCCCTGTATCCTCATCTTTTTTGCCTTCTGTTATACGTTCATTGATCGTGCATGCTTCTTTTCATGTTATTAGAATGGAATCTTTTTCCATTGTCCATGCCTCTGTCCTCAGGAGAGTCTCTTCTCTAGAGATGAGCTTATTTGATTTTGTTAATACTCATTTTTAGTTATTCTCCTACAACTAGTTTAATTTTACTAGCAAGTAAATGGGACTGTATATTGTTAAAACCTATACTTCAGTGACATTAAGGAAAATCCTTGGAATTATCAGTATCTTCTGAGAAATAAATTTTATTGGAGAAACATAGTCTATGGGGTTAATAACTCACAGAAAAGGCTAGATATTAAAGGGGGAAAATCAATGTGGTAGATAATTTGAACTAAAACTGAACTAGTTGAACAATTAGCATTTTAAGATGGTTGCATTTCACAATTGTGACCATATGGTGTGTGTGTGTGTGTGTGTGTGTGTGTGTGTGTGTGTGTGTGTATATATATTCTGCTTTTAAAATATTGATAATAAACATTCATATCTTTTGACTTTTGGGTGGTCAAAATATGCAAATAAAGCTGGTAGTGAGAACACAGAATATGCTTATGTTCTCAAGAATGAAAAATATTTAAAAACAGAAACAATTTATGGTTTTAGAGTTCTGTGAGTCGTTGTATGTTTCTATGCAATTGTTTCCAAGCCAAAATCATGTCTAGTAATCAAACACTTAAAATAAGTTATTGGGTTCAAGTCATTAAGGGTGTTTAAGAAAAGATTGGTTTTACTACAGATTTCACTGATTAAATCAAGCTGACTTTAAACTTGCTATCATTTATCCTCTGCCCCTTAGAGCTAAGAGTAAAGGCAATGAATGAATTACCATGACTTGATAAGAATTGACATCAATTTGTGTTTTGGCAATATGACAGTAGAGTACTGGGGGCCCTACTGGCTAAAGCATTATATCTAAAACACAGCAAATAATAGCATAGACATTAAAGTCTCTCCTTGGAAGTTACTGCATTATACAACCATGTATCTATTAATAAATATAGTGAAAAACCTAAATAACATTGGAAATTCCCTACAATATATTATTATTCCTTATCCGTGTTTTTAATTCATTATGAAACTTTATTTTCTAAAATAAAGTTTTTTAAGTTTAAGAGTTAGTTAAATGCAAATTTATTTCTCTAACATTTTCTGCAGTATTTCTGAATATTACTGTGCTGATGATACTTGTAAAGTAGGAATATGTTGCTTAGCTGTTTTCTTAATAGTCTTCTTTGAACTATTTAGTACTCCTGGAAAATATTATACAAGGCAATAACATGTGCATAGACAAAGATTAAATGCATATACCTGGATTTTATCATTTTCATTACAACATGATGGTTTTTGTAGCTTATCAAACATATTTTAGTTGTGTTAAATAGCTTGAAAATTGGCACTGTTCCTACAATTGGCAAATAAGTAAAGATTTAAAAGTCAACCCTGACACCTACATAGGAAACCAGTTTGGATGCTTATGCACTAGCTGTAACCTGGAGGAGAGCATATATATATAACCACATACATATATTATGTATATGTATGCTGTCTTTCTATTTGTAATATAGTACTAATGAACTTTGCTCTACAGCAATTTTATAAAATGTGTATATATTCTGATTTTATGCAGATAGAACTACCTCTCAGATCTCTTTATTAGTTTATAGATTATCACCCTTTCCCCGCCTTTTGCAGCGATCTTCTTGAGCTCCTTTCGGGTGCCATATGAGAAAATCAAGATGATAATATTGGAAGTGGATGAAACACAGTTGTCAGAGTCTATGATTCAGGTAAACAAACAAACAGTTTAAATTTCAATATTTCATGGCAAACTTCTCATTAAATAGTAATCTGTAAGTGAAGCAAAATTCTTAGCCCAAATCATTCAACTGGAAAATCATTGCTGCATAATTAGTTTGAGCATAACTTCTGCATTGCCAGGAGATAAAACTCTGCCTCTTCTCTTAACTGCAAACTAAATATAATGCTATCAAATTGATTACATTTCAATTATTTTAAATGACTCCTTCTGAAGGCAAATTGTTTAATTTTACATTCATGTTTTTGTTTTTGTTACAGTTAAGACTACTGGCATGTTAATTTAAAATTGCTTTATAGCCTTTGTTAAATGTGCTTTCCTTTAGTTTATGGAGCTAAATCATTATTTAGTAAAAATGAGTGAAGGAGCTTGATTCATGTTGTTTGTTCTCTAGGCAATCCATCCTGTCATCACTGTGCTTCCAGAGGACTGAGATCTTGCTCGTGAGGTCCTCATTCATTCCAAAGGCTAGATGATCCTGAAAAAATGTGTCTTGACCGTAGTATTTTTTTTTTAGTAGATGACAGTGTTAAGCCAAAATTACATAAAGAGTCTAATATGTATGCCTTGACAGAATGTGAAGTTGGACAATCAGAACACATGTGATGGGAGAAATTTTTAAGTTTACCTTTTTGGGTTCTGTCAAAAATATACCTGCAAGTCCTAAAATAACAACAACAACAATAATAAATTTATCTGTAAAATATAAATAATAACAATACTATCAATAATGGCAGGTAAGAAAATAAGCCATATGTAGTGTTCTTTGCCTATAATTTCCATACCCTGGGGGCTGACTCTGCAGGGGAATGCAGAGTCTGAGGCCTTGCTGGAGACCATAGGCGATTGGAGGGGAGGGTACCAAAGATTGTTTATTATTGTGTAAACATTAGATGTTTTTGTTTTTCCATAACTGATAACTCTAGAAGTTCCAGATTTTCCCTCTTCTACGTCCTATTTGTTATGTGGATGTACTTTCATTTGACATTTGTGCACTGAGTCTCCTAGTCTTAGAAACTACCCAAATCAACAACCTTTCTTTAAGTACTAACTTTTCCCCTGTAGCATTTTTAAAATATATACTGTATATTCTTCAGTGCTGTTACTTGTGTATGTGACTTCTTCCTGAGAGCAGACGCCTAGCTCCTTAAAGATTTTCTACATACTACATATTTATATTTCTTGTAATGAGTTTGTTAAATATTTACAGAATAGCTTTTAACTTGATTACATGGATGTTTTGATAATTATGTGCATTTTTGTTGACTAGAGAAAGAAAGAAAAGGTCATTTGCATTTTTTAATTAACGTCCACTGCAGGTTCAGCTTCATATAATTTTTTTAAATTCTTTATTAATTACACTTTATTCACTTTGTATCCCGCCTGTGGTTCCCTCCCTCCTCCTGTCCTTCCTCCACCCTCTGCATGCATGCCCCTCCCCAAGTCCACTGATAGGGGAGGTCTTCTTTTCCTTCCTTCTGATCCTAGTGAATTAGGTCTCATCAGGAGTGGCTGCACTGTCTTCCTCTGTGGCCTGGTAATCCTGCTTCCCCCTCAGGGGGAGATAATTAAAGAGCAGGCCAATCAGTTCATGTCAGAGACAGTCCCTGTTCCTATTACAATGGAACCCACTTCATATAATTTCTTAATGTACTACTTTCTTTTGGCTGTTACAACAACTCACCTCAAGTTCAACAGCTTACAATCAGAAATTTACTGTCTTGCATTACTGTCAAATGGAAGTCTAGCAGTATTCTCATTGAGATGTTTGGGTTTCGGCAGGTCTAGATTTCTTTCAGTAGTGTGTTGGGAAGAATCCTGAGTTTGTCCTTTTCAGCATCATGAGGCTGTCTCCCTCTCTTAGCTTGGACCCTTCCTTGATCTTGTAAGCAGATATCACTGTATTCTCCTTTGCATGAGCCCAACTTTCTGTTATTTTTGCTCTGTCTCTGTCTGTCTATCTCTCTTTCTCTCACACACCCTCTCTCTACCTCTTTCTCTCTTTTTCACATTAGACACTGACATACCCAAGGATATTCACCCCACTTTAACACCATGTGATGGTACCTTGGATAACAAATGTAGTTTTTATTTCTTTAGCTGTGCAAGCAGATATTTCCGTAGTTCTAGATGAGTAGACTTGCACTTCCCGAGTCTGGGTAGTAATTGTTCTTTATAACACACTTAATAAACGTAAAGACAGTGCATGAATTGAAAACCTGGAAAAATGGATATATAGAAGGCTGTCATTTATTCATTGTAAAATAAGAATTTCATGTTATTTGAAGCCTTATATTTAATTTTTAAAATCCCCTTGTTTTAATATGAGTGTAGAAGCAAGCCATGACTTTGTAATAACCACCACTTCTGTTATCCTTCCCTACAGCATTTTGAAATGCTGTTCATATGCACCAGGTCAGAGGCGTGAATTTGAATGCCACAGTTGCACATCCTTCTTTATGTTATTAGAATTGCTAACACTTGATTGTGTGTACTGTGTGTAAGGCTTTGTATGAGTGTCTATCAGAGACTTCACCTTCTTGCAGTTTATTTTCTTAGAGCAGTAATGACATTTATATGCATGGTTATAATGCAAGATGGGCATGGCTTTGTTGAGATTGCTAAGAACTAGAGATTGGAATGGGAGAACATATTTTTTTGTGTATTTGAGGCCAAAGGTACTTAAGTGGAGACATGGCCGTAGAGGAGAGCATGGATGGATAAGATAGTGGTTGTCTTTCTGGCAATATACTGTGAACTCTAATGGTAAACTCCTGTTTTTATACAATGTCAGTGGGGAAGTTAGTAAGATTGAATGCAGAGGAAGGTGGAGCCTGAACTTTTACAACTCCTGTGTTGTTTTTTTACTAAAACACCTCAATATTAAGGTGTTAATTTGTAAAGTTTTGATGAAAGGACAAAATGTAAGTATATAATAACTAAAAACATTTGCTGAGATATGACATGCATTTTATAAAATGCTAAGAATCTGAGTGGCCCCTTTAATACAGAACTTGATAGTGTAGCTATAGCTTGAATAGAAGAAGAAAGTTATAGAATAATAACCAGGATTTTAGTCTCAGGTATTTCCAATAAGAGGAATTTGTATCCATGTGGCAAAATCATATAACCTTATTGTATCCATTCACCTTGCTAGGATTAAAAGTGACTACATTTTCTGAGCATGTTTTTGAATTATTAGCCCCCCTTTTGTTGTTGTTTCTTTTTAGCCAGTCACCATATCTTTAATCCAGAGGTACACTGTCTGCCTGTGGCATGTTCTTTGATGTAACTATTTTTCAGTTATTTACACACTGCAGTAGTATTTTAAACCAATAATACTTTGGACAATTTTTTTTTTAGATATTTTTTATTTTTTATTAATTACACTTTATTCATTTTGTATCCCCCCATAAGCCCCTCCCTCCTCCCCTCCCGATCCCACCCTCCCTCCCCTTTCTGCATGCATGCCACTCCCCAAGTCCACTGATAGGGGAGGTTCTCCTCTTCTTTCTGATCTTAGTCTATCAGTTCTCATCAAAAGTGGCTGCATTGTCCTCTACTGTGGCCTGCTAAGGCTGCTTCCCCCTCAGGGGGAAGTGATCAACGAGCAGGCCAATCAGATTATGTCAGAGGCAGTCCCTCTTCCCATTACTATGTAACCCACTTGGACACTGAACTGCCATGGGCTACACCTGTGCAGGTGTTCCAGGTCATCTCCACGAATAGTCCTTGGTTGGAGTATGAGTCTTTGGGAAGTTCCCTGTGTTCAAATTATCTTGTTCTGTTGCTTTCCTTGTGGAGTTCCCGTCCCCTCAAGCTCTTACTATTTCCCACTTCTTACATAAAATTCCATTGACTCTGCCCGACAATTGGCCATCAAGCTCAGCATCTGCTTTGACAGTCTATACTGCAGAGGCTTTCAGAGGCCCTCTGTGACAGGTTCCAAGGTTGTTTCCTGTTTTCTTCTGGCTTTCAGAGGCCCTCTGTAGCAGGTTCCGAGGTTGTTTCCTATTTTCTTTTTTTTCTGATGTCCATCCTCTTTGCCTTTCAGGATGGGGATTGAACATTTTAGTTAGGGTCCTCTCTTTTGCTTAGTTTGGACAATTTTTTTTTTAATCTGCCACAAAATATGCCTAGCATTTCTATAGAGTCAGTTGTTAGTTTTGCTTGAGTTTGGGTTTGCCTGGAGTCTCCAGACATGGTTTGGAATTGTGACCACCTAATGCTTCTGTCCCTCTTAGTTCTAATGTTATTATACTAACCCCTTATTCCTCTATTTTGATGCAGAGGCTTAGTGTAAGCTTTTTTGGTGGGATTGCTTATTTAAGTACCATCAAGTACCATCAGGAGAGGCCAGCTCTTTGAATATTTGTGTGTGTGTGTGTGTGTGTGTGTGTGTGTAAATGCTAAACATCACAGAGGTGGCTGAATAGCTGAAGGAATCAATTGATTTTAGACCATGGTAGATGCGGCCATATCTATTCTATCTGCAAGGTTCCTCATCCTCTGTCTCCATGGCCTCTACACATTTCCTCCCCATCAGAAAACTTGCTTTTAAAGGTATCTTTAGTTTTTATTATTAAAACATGATCCTTCTGGTTAAATCTTGTAACTGCTGCATTAAAATTCCCTTCACTCCTTTCCTATTCTTTCCACTGCCTTTGGTAGCAACTTATGATTTCTTTGATCCCCCTGAGTAAAGTGCTGAAATATGTTTGGCTTTGCCTGAGATTTTTGACATTCAGTTCCCTAAAGCTGAAATGTAATGGATCATATTTATCCAGGTGAGAAAGTTGTTCCTTTGGTATAGGTTGAGTTCTCCTTTCTCAATTATAAGCTAATCAAATAAATATTCAGTAGTGCTTGATTTGAATATATAATAACTCTGGGAGAGAGGAAAGTAAAATTGACTGTTTCCTAGCTGAGCGGCCTGTTGCTTCAGGCTTCGGATAAGGGAGGTTATCTTGAAAAAAAAATAATATTAATTTTTTCACTGGTTTACTTTTTTCAGTTCACTGATTTATTTTCTCAAACTTTGAATGCTGCATATAGTGAAAGTGCTTTTTCTCGGTTTTAATTTTCAGAACTTAATAAAGCACCTTCCTGATGCAGAGCAATTGAGTTCATTGTCTGAGTTTGGGAGTGACTACAACAACTTATGTGAACCGGAGCAGTTTGCTGTTGTGGTGAGTACTGTGTGTCTCAGTCTCTTCAGAGGGAGTTTTTATGTGCGAGACAGGAGAGAAAAATAGAAAGTTTCAGCATTCAGAAAGTTGTTCATATGAGCATCTAATCGCTCTCTTGCTTTTTTTAAAATTTAACCTAAATATATTTCTGAAGTTTGTCTTGATTTAAAATAATGTATTGAAAATTGGAACTTAGATGAACTCCAAAGGGTGCTTGAAAGTATGTTTGTAAGGTTTCTTTACCATATAAACATGTAAAGCAAGAAGCTCACTCGTTCTAAATGTAATGAATTTGTGATCTAGTGTAAATATATGAGTTCTAGCAAACTGCAAGAATCCATTTCTCATTTTAGTCAACCACTTAGGTTCATTTCATAGTTTTGACTCAGAAATCAAAAATATTATTTTTTGTTGTTGTTGGCAATGAGAGAGAAAATTCATTTGAACAAAATCTCATCAAGGCATCTGGCTACTGATGTTTTGCCCCTCTCCTCCTGAGTTTATGAACTGGGAACTAGAGGTGGAAAGACCTGTTGATCTGTATGATAGCTGCATTCCAGCTCAAAGTTAAGAATTATTTTTAACATCAAAACATTCTTTCTCTGCTGCTTTCTCCTAGCATTAATGACCCTTTTCAGGTTGACTGTAATTTTCATCATAAATGGCATTCTTTCATATTATTTAGTGTCTCTTTAAACAGTGTTTTTAAGGCCATACTTAGAATTTTCAGCACAAATTTTTATGTTAAATATCATTGTAATCAAATGATAATCTTTTTGTTTTGGTTTGGTTTTTTGAGACATGGTTTCTCAGTATACCTTTGTTGTCCTGGAACTCACTCTGTAGAGCAGGCTGGCCTCAAATTCAGTGTTCCACCTGCCTCTGCCTCCTGCATGTGTGTGCCACTACTGCTTTGGGTGGATTTTTGATAAAATATTAAAAGGAAAAAATGTGGGGAAAATTCAAACTATAAAACCCTTAAAAATTGTCCTTTGTACACTGTTGTAAGAACAAAATGACAGCCTACAGACTGGGAAAGGATCTTCACCAACCCTATATCTGATAGAGGGCTAATATCCAGAATACATAATGAACTCAAGAAGTTAAAAAGCAACAAATCAAGTAATCCAATTGTAAAAATGGGGTACAGAGCTAAACAGAGAATTCTCTGTAGAGGAATACAGAATGGCAGAGAAACATAAAGAAATGCTCAACATCCTTAGTCATCAATGAAATGCCAATCAAAACAACCCTGAGATTTCACCTTACAACCAACAGAATGTCTAAGATCAAAAACTCAAGTGACAGCACATGCTGGAGTGGATGTGGAGAAAGAGAAACCTGCCTCCATTGCTGGTGGGAATGTAAACTTGTACAACCACTTTGGAGATCAATCTGGTGCTATCTCAGACAATTAGGAATAGTGCTACCTGAAGATCCAGCTATACCACTCCTAGGCATATATCCAGAAGATGCTCAAGTACACAACAAGGACATTGGCTATACCATGTTTCTAGCAGCTTTATTCATGATAGCCAGAATCTGGAAACAACATAGGTAGATGTCCCTCAACAGAGGAATGGATACAGAAATTGTGGTACATTTACACAATGGAATACTACTCAGCAATTAAAAACAAGGAAATCGTTAAATTTGCAGGCAAATGGAGGGTTCTAGAAAAGATTATCTTGAGTATTGTATCCCAGAAGTGTAAAGACACACACAGTATATACTGACTTTAAAGTGGATATGAGACATAATATAGCATAAACATACTAAAATTTGTACACCTAAAGAAGGTAAACAAGAATGGGGGGTCCTGGGTAAGATGATCAGTCCCCACTTAAAAAGGCAAATGGTTGGACATCTGAAGAGGGAGAAAACAGGGAACAGGACAGGAGTCTACCACAGAGGGCCTCTGAAACACTCTACCCAGCAAGGTATCAGAGCAGATGCTGAGACTCACAGTAAAACCTTGGGCAGAGTGGAGGGAATCCTATGAAAGAAGTGGGAGATAGAAAGACCTGGCGGGGATAGGAGCTCCACAAGTAGAGCAGCAGAACCATGAAATATGGTCTCAGGAGTCTTTTCTCAGACTGATACTTCAAACAAGGACCATGCATGGAGATAACCTAGAATTCTGTCACAGATGTAGCCCATGGCAGCTCAGTATCCAAGTGGGTTTCCTAGTAGGGGGAACAGAGACTTTCTCTTGACATTAACTCAGTGGCAGGTTCTTTGATCTCTTTCCCCTGATGGGGAGCAGCCTTACCAGGTCACAGAGGAAGACATTTCAGCCAGTTGTGATGAGACCTGAAAGGCTAGTGTCAGATGGAAGGGGAGGAGGACCTCCCATCTCAGTGGACTTCGAGAGGGCATGGGAGGAGTTGAGCGAGGCAGGGTGCCATTAAGAGGGAATGAGGGAGGGGGCTACAACTGGGATACAAAGACCCTTGGGCCCAGATTTCTTGGTTATGTTGGTTTCCTTGTGGAGCTCCTGTCCTCAAGGTCTTTGTATCTCCCTCTTCTTTCATAAGATTCCCTTCACTCTGCCCAAACTTTGACTATGAGTCTCAGCATCTGCTTTGATATCTTCTGGGTGAAGTGTTTCAGAGGCCCTCTGTGGTAGGTTTCTGTCCTGTTTACTGTTTTCTCCCTCTTTAGATGTCCTGTTTGTCTTTTTGAATGCAGTTTGATCATCTCACTCAGGATGAAATTCTATTTCCCACCATTTGCATGCAAGTTTCATGATCCCTCCCCCCTTTTTTTTAAATTGCTGAGCAGTCTTCCATTGTGTAAATGTATCAAAATTTTTATACCCATTCCTCAGTTGAGGGAAATCTGTGATGGATCAATGGATTATTCGAATAGAAGACCCAGAATTAATCCCACATACCTACTAATACTTGATTTTTGACAAAGACCATAAAATGGGAAAAAAAAAAAAAAAAGACAGCGTCTTCAAGAAATGATGCTGGTCTAACTGGATGTCTGCATGTAGAAAAATGCAAATAGATCCATATTTATCACCCTCCACAAAACTAAAGTCCACGTGGATCAAAGACCTCAGCATAAAACCAGACATAGTAAATCTGCTAGAAGAAAAAATGGGGAAGAGCCTTGAACTCACTGGCACAGGAGACAACTTCCTGAACAGAACACCAACAGCACAGACTATTAAGATCAACAATCAGTAAATGGACTTTGTGAAACTGAAAAGTAGGATTTTTCTAAAACACAGATTTTTTTTTTCTTTCATCTTAGGTTATATAAACAGCCTCTGGAACAATAATGAAGTTATATTTGATACTTGTTTACAATTCAGGTGGTTAAATTTATATGCCTATCTGTACTCCATATTTGACCTATTGTAGGCTCTTTCCCTTAAACTTATTTTTGCATCTTTTCCAGTAACACACTTAGCTTCCTCACCCATAAAGTTCCGTGAACTTCATGAAGAACACTTAGGGAATGAAACAGGGATTTTTTTTTTTTCATTTTTACTGTCTTGTATTTTTCTTTTGAAACTTTTATACTTTCATCATTTTTAATTTTTGTAAATTTCTTTATGAGAAAAACTTGTAAATAAACATCACACAACAAATGACCAAATGCACACACATTCCCCAAAGGTTACCAGATCCAAAGTCTACACATCTAAATGGTCTTTTGTACGGTTCGAATGACCATTTAGAATGGATATTGTATAGCTTTCCATGGGATTTTACACTTTTACATTTCTACTTTTGGTGTCACACACCTCTTGACAACAGCAAGTGTTTGTGATGGATCACAGGTAAAGAATGTAATCCATTGTGATGGGGATGTCAAGGCAGAGAAAGCATGGTGTAGCTAGCTCTATGTTCACTCAAGAAGCTGGGGTAGAGTGTGGTTTATGAGGAGAGAGTGAACAGGAAAGGCATGTTCCTGTTTTTCTTTTATTCATTTGAAGACTCCATCTGATAGAATAGTAGGTCTTACCTCACCTTGTATTCTTGATCAAACAAGCTAGCATGGAGATCGGACAATGAGAGGGAGTGGGACAGGCATGTTCCTTTCTACCTTTTTTTCAGTCTAGGTCCTGATATCATAGAATAATGCTGCTCGTCTTCAGTATCTATCTTACAGTATCAGTTAAGCCAGACTAGAAGTTCCCCCTTAAAGGCAAGTCCAAGGATTTGTATCCTAGGTGACTCTAAAGCAGAGGTTCTCCCCCTGTGATCGTAACCCCTTTGCGGGTCAATGACCTTTTCACAGAGGTCTTCTAAGACCATCAGAAAACACAAATATTTACATTATGGTTCGTAACAGTAGCAAAATTCAGCTATGAAGTAGCAATGAAAATAATTTTATGATTGGGATTCATCACAACGTGCAGAACTGTATTAAAAGGTTTTAGCATTAGGAAGGGTGAGACCTCACTGTTCTTGACCCCATCAAGGTGATACCAACTTGTATGAGAATTGAGTATGGGACTGAGACTCAACCAGGAACTTGCACATTCCAAGTGTGCTCATACCTCTGTGCAAATTCTGATGCCAGAAAAAGCATATGCTGCTGAAAGAATTTTCCCATAGATACTGTGGACAGTGCTGCAGCGGTCTGCTGGTTGTCCCTGTTCTTCACAACACTATTCATTTTCTAGGTGTTTATTATTAATACCTCAAAGGTAACTATTTTGATGAAAAAAATTAAAAGAATTATTTTCCTTTTGTCTTTCCCTTTTTTTAGTTTTTTTCCCCCTCCTCTAGCCCTATCTTCACCCTTGTAGTAACTCTCCTTTTTCTACCCTCCCAAGAAAAGGAAGACCTTCTTAAAGCTACACAGTCTGTTATAGCATAAAAATTATATCGGGCAAAGAATTTGAGACATCGTAGAAACATGGGTATTTTCTTTTCTTTATGAAATCAAAGCTCAGTTTTAACTTTGATGACTTATTAAGGAGCAATGAGCATACAGTTTATCAATTTTATATCAATGATAGTTCTGTGGCTTTCAAA